TGAGAAAGCACCATATTGACAGTCAGGCTTCGGGTGAAAGATTTCGGGCTCATATGCTGTGTTCACAGGTGGCTGCACCCTTGCTTTTCTTCTGACTGAAAAAAGCGCATCATGCTACATCCCCACAGATTCATGCCCGACTTATGCTGGAAATATCCTGCATGGCCCCTTGGATCTAGAACCCTGGATTCTTCTGACCGACATACGACTGGGGCCATGCAGGAACACGACCCTGCCCCCAACAAACATGAAAGCCCAAAGAGGGGCCCTAGAAAGTGTACTGTTCTGTTCTGGGTTGGCCCCTAAAACCCTTTGAAAAATATTAGGATATAGGTTCCCTTATTTAAGCCATTAGGGAAGATAGTAAATATCCCAGGGGCCTTCCCTTTTGTTATAGGGCCCCCAATGTTTTGGATGAAGGTGGTCCTTCTCTGCAAGTTGTGGGCAGCGTTTATGGGCGCCTAGATACAGGAATTCTGGAATCATGCCATCAAATCGAGCTGGCCGACTTTGAATATTTCATGACCTGCAATCAAGCCTTATGCTTCCTATCATTTAGAGTGAAGTGGGGAGAGGTCACGGTAAGTTCAGAAAGCATCAGTAGGCAAATCGCGCAAGTGAGTATTCTTCTAATTTTCATGTAAAATGAAAGCCGCCAACGGAAGTTTAAATTCTAGTTAAGCAAGGATCTCTGCACCAAACAAACTATACCATGCACTCTTAACCTTGAAGCCCTTCCTAAACAGAACTTGCTTTGCTGAAAAACCTAAGGTCTTCACCGCTGCTCATTGGGACTCGGGCCCACCAAGTCATTTGCTCTTCAACTTGGCCTCCATAGCATTTCCTCAGCTGCTTGTTTAGGGTTTAGGGTTTAGGGTTTAGGGCGGGCTCTCTCAAACCAGCGTGACTCCATTCGAGCTAGCTAGAGATATATACACACATGCTCTCGTGGTCCCCACAAAGGATTCTGCCAAATGTATACGGGACATTCTCAGAATGGTCCATGTATACGCCATACTCCCAAATGAGGACCAAGACAAACTCCCTTGAGTTTCCTGAGATACTTTCCTCCCGCCCCTATCGGGTCACCCGCTTCCAGGAGCTCCGATGCCAATTCTTGAACAGGCTACAATGTCTTGTGTGGAATCATGATCCCCGCTACCCATTCATCTGGTCCAACCTTCTCTTATTGTACGCCATATTGCACGCCCAATGTGGGAATGTAGCGGGATTGTGCTATCCCAACTGATGCACTGTATACGAAGGCCCCAAACCCTAAAGCTTAGGAGGGGGAGGAGAAGGGAGGTAAACAAACTACCGCTACCCGAAACCCTAAACCCAAACCAAGCGCAGACGTCTCAAGTGTTCATTTGAACGACCGGTCTGGGCCTTGAGGAGATGCCCGCCTGACCCAGGCCACAGCATATTGGGACTATATTGGGGTTATATTGGGACTATATTGAGGTCATATTGGGGTTATATTGGGGTTGTATTGGGGTTATATTGGGGTTGTATTGGGGTTACATTGGGGTTGTATTGGGGTTATATTGGGGTTGACCCAGCAGCAGCACAGCCATCCAACGCCGGGCAGGCGGGCGAGGAGCACGGACAGGAGTCGGGCCGACAGCGGCAGAAGAACGGCGCCCCCAGCGAGGAGCTTCAGGCAGGGCCGCCGGGCTGGCTGCCCTGCCATCAAGCCCAGCTCCTCTCACTGGAAGTAGCTTTCCAACACCCGAAGGGTTGTAACGCTGAATCTCAAGCCCTATGTAGGCACTAACGCTCATACCTGAACCCAAATTAGACCTAGCATCCCCCGGCGCAAACCTTTCGTTTTCTCTTTCAGATGTCTGATGTAAGCTCAGCGTCTGGACTTCTTCAGCTGCGCTTTCAGCGCACGCACCAGAAAGAGGACGAGGAAAAGGTTGAAAACAACCTGAATAACATGGTTTCGGGGGCCGGGGTGTTTTCCTGGGCTCAGGGTCATCTGTGTTTGTACGGCTGCAAGCATATAACCTTGAGATTGGCAAGTTCACTCTTCGGGCTTGACTAGGGCTTGGTGAATTTCAAGGCACATTTAGCTATGGGGCATCAGAGCAAAATCCATGGGATGTCTACCCAACCTAACCCCACTGCAATACTTCAGCCCCAAACTTACGCCTTAGTCAGCCGTAGTCAGTCAAGCTCAGATGGAGGTAGACAAAAGGACGCTGCTTCGCTTGTGTCCTCACGTATCCTGATAACACATCAAGAAACAACGGCGGCCAACCACATACACGTACACATATGCGTGTATATATGCATACACATATATGTATGCAGATATGGATATGAGGATAGTTATAAATAAAGCTATCAATCGCCAGTGAATGTAGGTAAAAATATGAAATGGGCGAAGAGTCATGCTTTGAAACATATTGGTGTTTGACCCGTTTAACGGAAAAAACAGTGGCTGCATTGCCAACATGGCTTTTGTTTCATATGTTCAGCTGAAGGGCTTGTTTAGAACTGGCTGAAGAGCCATTCTGAGAAACATGTTGGTGGTTGCCATGCTTGGCAGAAGCCATGGCTGAAGAGCCACCTGTCCTTTGCGTGGCTTACACTCAAGGCTGCCCAATGATGGAGGATTTGGCTTCACATGTTAGGTCATAGTGGCACTTTGAAGTAATAGCATTTAAAGCAGAAACCTTCATTAAACATGTTTAGTCACTGGCTGTTCAGCTAAAAGTCCTGACTGCTGGCTGTTCCAAAATGAACATAGGATTTTTCGGACGCATCCAGACATGTACTAGCCACGCGCGAAATGTATGGCTTCGCAACAAGACATGTTGCTTTAATATCTCGAGGCCCACATCTTTCAGGACCACAGGTTTGGCCGCACACCCAGAAACAATTCAGGGTTTAGGGTTTAGGGTTTAGGGCAGACTATAGTCCCCCTTAAGTAGATAGAATATGGGGTATATGGGGATCTTGTTATAATATACCCAAAGTCATATTCTATCTACTTAAGGGGGACTATACGGTGTTGAAGGATTTTCTGCTTCCAATAGAAATGACAAATTGGAAGTACTGAAGACATGAAACGCTGCGATTGACAGAAACGGAATTCTAAAAGTGAAGCAACGAGAACTGTGCCCGTGAGAAATGAAAATCTGCGACTGATTTTGCAAAGTACTATATAACAACTATATCCGCTTTAAACGGACCCCTCAGTCATCTAGCCTACCTCCAACCCCAGGGCCCAGGGGCAGGCAAGGCAGCTTTAAAGGCGCCGGTCCACGAAGACTGGCCCTGGGTCCCAGCATTTGTGTTTTAGGGATAATGGAACATGGAAGCTACTATAGTATACAGGGGTTATTTAGGGATAATGGAAAAGAACATGGAAACTACTATTCGGGGTTAGGTTCGAGGGTTTGTGGATGTTAAGAGTTTGGGGTCAAGGGTTTAGGTTTGAAGGTTCATAGATTAAGAGTTTGGGAGTTGAGTTAGGGGTTTGGGCTTTAAGGTCTACAGGGCTTAGGGTTGAGAGTCGTGGGTTGCGGGTGTAGGTGCTTTTAGGGTTGAGGGTCCTGGCTTGCGCCGTTGGTTTCACGCAAGTAGTCTTTCCACGGCGCCCAAGCTCGACAAGCTCACAGAATGTGTGGAGGTTTCTCGAACGAAAAAAGAGCAGTTCCATTCCGGACCTTTGCGACACACGGTGATCGTAAAGAAACGTTACAAGCCTCGCCTCGGGGAGTCTGCAAGGGACAATGCTTATAAACTCCCTCACAATTTGAAACCATGAAAGCACAGGATTACTGGAGTAACGTTGACGCAAGAGCAGAAATTGGCCAATTTTAAACCCTTCTTTGCACGACAATATACCAATACCCAATAAGCAATACAGTACTGCGGTCTTCTTTCCCATCCCGATAGGGGAACACAACAGCTGTGAGCAAATTCATTCTCTGGCTGAAGCGTGTAGTGAGGTGTAACAGCTCCATGTGATGCCCGAATATGGAAAAGCACCCCCCTCCATGTTGAAAAGACCCAAAATCCTGAACCCTGAATCTGATAACCCTAAACCCTAAACCCTGAAGTCCCAAATCACCACCTTGTCTTTCCGATCCTGCAATGAGACTTTACACTGGTCCTACCTGGACCCTTAAAGTATGTAAAATAATGGCCTTTATGGCTATTATTGTGGGTTTAAGGCTATTATTTTACACATTTGTTGGGGGGTTTTGGGTAGACCCTAAACCCTACAACAAGCCAAGAACAGTCACCAAGAGGCATCAGAAGACTTGGTGGGGGCGAACACCTCCTCCATGATTGTTTGGAGATTTGGCTTGGCCCGCGACGTAGCATGTAGACTGTACAACTTAGAGATTCCGGCGTAGAGCTTGAAACTTTGTACGCGGAGTGTGGAATTCCGTATTTAGAGTTTGGAGCTGCTCAACATTCAATCCCTAGTCGCACTTCTGACCCCAAACGCGCATTCGGAGGTTCATAGGTTGCCAAACCAGCTCAACCATACATGTCACCATACAGAGGGCTACAGTACTGCAAGTACTGTAGCTACACAGAAAAACCTTCCCTGACATGAAGAAAGCCAATAGATGGACTCAGATTCTGACAGGAGGCCAGGTGCAGAGACACCCTAGTGTACAGGCCAGGATCAGGGCTGTTTGGGGTTTAGGGGCTCTTGTACAATTATTATGGTATAGGGGCCTCAAAACAATATTGTCGATTTTTTATCTAAGCCCTGTCTTATTTACATGATCCCTGTACATAGCCCCTACATAACCTCAGTTTCCATAACATGTTCCATTGGCTTCTCCATTTGATTCTCCACTCTGCCTTCACCCCTACAGAAACCTCTATATCCCGAAACCCTACACCATGCGTTTATGTCCCTATGAAACCTATATTCATATACCCGAAGCCCTGAACCTTATGGATCCTACATATCCCCAATTACGCCCTACAAACCCTACAGGACGTTGGCATATCAAGCTTCAGTCCTGCAGATTTTTGCAGGCACTGCCCATGTAGATGTTCCTTGGAGAGAAGAACGGAAGGGTTTGGGCAAGTAGGGATTAGGATTTGGGGGGGGTTCCGGGTTTAGAGCTTAGGTGTTTAGAGTTTAGGGTTTCCTTGCAGAGAACCAGTGAAGGAGAATTAGTCATAAGCGCCTGTATGGGCTCCAATAATGATGAGGTTTTCCAACAGCTGGGGTGCTTGAGGACCCCAAGTTGAGCTTCTCATACTTCGGATGCCTCCCCGCAAGGCTCCTTGCAACAGCCATCTCAGGGTTTAGGGCTTAGGGTTTAGGATGGTTTAGCCGTGAGACTGGGTTGGTGCGTCCAAAACTCATAGGATTTTGGCAACCATCCCTCAACTTCCCTGGTTGCATCTTGTCGGTTGACATCAAAACGCGGCTCCTGCAGAATGTACCAGCAGGAACTTGCTCGGCTGTTGGAGGGTTGCACATGCTAGACCCGAAGCCTAAATTCCCTGCCAAGGAAACACCAACATGGATTTCCATAACGCCGAAATTTTGACAGGACAGGAGCCTTTGAAAAATACGTTCGGGGGGTTGAGAGGATTGCACAGCGGCAAAGCTTATGCAAACGTATCTGCACGGCTACTGGGCCATACTGGGCCTATGCAAACCGCCAACCGGAGCATAAGGCAGAATGTTCATTCATGCTGGTCACCCCCAGGGACACACCCCACAAGTACGCACCCCTCAAGGAGCCCTACTGCGGCGTTTTCAAGCAGGGGTTCACGGCTTCAAGGGTTTCAGTTTCCTGGAGCTGGTGAGGCTCTGTATGGCGTAGAAAGGCGAGAAGATGCATGAAGTCACCTGCAGGTAGGGTGCTAGCACTCTTGGACGAAGCCAGGGTTGTGGGAAAACAGCATGAACGCAACTGCGCAGTAAGCAGGACCAGTGAAGTTCGAATCTTACAGGCAGTTGAGAGGCATAAGCTGATGTTAAACCCTAAGCCCTAAACACTGGTAACTCTGAACACCTGGCCTTGGTCTGTGGCAACCCGAAACGCCTGACCCTACTTCAGAAGTCTAAATACCCTAATCGCAGACCTTCTGGCCCCAACGGAATTAATTGCAAAGGAATCGCAAAATACATGGCAGCTTCCATAAATAGAGGACCCCAATATAGCCCCCCACATACTACCATCACTACTTCACTTGTTGGACACACACACATATATACTTTACAGATGTTGGAGCCTGAACATCTTTGGAAAGACTGCATCTGTCCAAGCTTCGTTGCGTTCCTAGGCCTAGCTCTGTGATTAGGAGGATGTAGCGTTTACGGGAAACTCCTAAATCAGGTTTTAGGGTTTAGAGTTCAAAGTTTAGTGTTTTTTTAGGGTTTGAAGGTTTAGGGGTCAGCAGTGAGATAGCATAAAAGCCAATAAATAGCTCAGAATCCAAGGTTCCAGGTCCCAAGTCCTTAGCCCTTTCGAAGGCTTAAAGGGATGTAGCAAGGCCCGCAAGGCTGCCTAAACTCTGAAACCCGAATATTTCACAGGTGATATCCCAACCCTTCACATCCCATGCCCAATGGCACAAAAAATGAACAGCCTTCAGACTCTTACCCTAAACCCTAAATACCCTAAATAGCAGTTTCCATTGTGTTTTCCATTATCCCTATATAACCCCTATATTCCCTATCATGATATACTACGCTTCCATCTTTATTTTCCATTATCCCTATATAACTATATTATATTCCCTATCACAATGTAGCAATTTCCATCTTATTTTCCATTATCCCTATATAACCCCTTATTGCAATCATCCCTGGCCATCGTAGGATTCTGTGGGCCTTCTAAACAGAGACGCATAGCTAAGTCTATGGTTTTGTGTTGAGGGTTTAGGGTTTCTGGGACGTAGTAGGTGCCGTAATATAGCCTAGAACCATAAGGGCCCATGATTTTGAGAACCGCCCATATACATGACTGATCAAGATCCAGACTCTTCGCCCTATGGAAATCCTTCAGAAGCCAAAGAACAAATGGGGTTTCCCCAAAATTCGGGGTACCTTTTCCGGGGTTCTCATAATCAGGACTATAGTATTGGGTGTTCTATATCGGGTTCCCCTACTCAGGGGACACTACCATATATAGTTACGTACATGAAGACAAGTTTAAGCCTATGATAAAAATGTAAGCATCTTAACAACCATGACACAAACCCTGCCCCCACCATGATTGGGAGGTAGCCGATGTCCAGCACACCCAGTCCATAATTCTTCACACTCAGCGGGGCCTTGGTACGTCCATGCCCCAACAACCAAACGAGGGATAGTTTGGCTTCGGGATGCTTCAAGTTTAGGATTGGGGTTGCTTGAGGAATCACAAGAACCGGCTATGGTAATGGTCTCGCAGAATGTCTGAGAACGACCTGGAAGAGCTACACAAAGTCTGGTGAACACCGCAGACGCAGAAGCCTAAACAACTAGGAAAAGCATCACCTTGCAATGCCGTCCAGAATACATGCAGGGATCCTATTCTGACAGTTAAGAGAGCCCCTTTACAAATGCGTTACAAAGGGGAGCTACACTCTTCAATTTTCGATACCTTCAATCAGAAAGCTTGAATAAAACTATGACCTGCGCAAGTCCTACTTGCCCTGAACCTCAAGCCGTGAAAGCCTAAATGGCTAAAAGCCTGAACGCGCTAACCAACCGCCCACAAGATCTCATAAGCTCATCCCCTCAACCCCCTAATGCCAGACCTAAACCCTAAACCCTACAGACAGGCTGCATAAGAGCCCCTCACTAAGAATGCCATCTTGAAGGGCTCGTCCTGCTTGTAGGACACATTGGGGCTTAGGGATGGACTCGGGTTCCTGCTTTCAAATGGCCTTAGGATTTATAGGGTTTACCCTAACCCAAAAGCCTAAGAGAAGCTCTTCTCGAATATGAGATAAAGGAAAAATTCAGGGCTGATCAGGTTAACTGTATGCTTTGGCTTCGCTGGTTCCTTCCTAAAGCGCACATGTTCCTCCACCTGCAAGCGTGTTATACCCTTGAAACCTTGGGATGTAGTGGTACAGGGTTTAGGGTTTAGGGTTTAGGGAGTACAGTAGCGTACTGAAAAGTCTACATGGGGCCTTGACTCAGCATGGCCCTCCCGCAAAAAGACATGGAAATTCAGATGAAATTCTCTGAAAGCGAAGGTCCACTTTAAAGAACCTTGAGCCTGAACCCTACTGACAAGCTAAGAGAGC